GGAAAGAGAGAGAATTGTACATATGTACACATGGTGTATATATATATACTTCAGATTGCAAGGGCTCCTTATACACAAATCCATATGAAATAAACCCGTTGTGTCGTATTTTGCGTAGGCGTTCTTGCAAGGATAGACACGCTCTCTCGTGTAGAGAATTTCCTTGTATAACGTACTATGCAAGTACCACTCGGATTAATCATCGTAATGATTGTAAGTATATTTTAAAAACAAAATGATTTCAAATAAGGTTTTAATTATCCACTTGGTTTACTATTATATATCGTTTGAAAACTATGAAAAATATCGGTATTATTATCGTCATACTTATATTTTTCATCTGGTTGATCAATACTTATTTTATTATAAACTTCATTGCTTTTTTTAAATTTTTTTTCTTTAGTCACGGGATGCGTTTTTTTTTTTGATTATTGTAAATTTGTTGTAATTTCATTCTTCTATATTTATCTTTTAGTTCAAGTAATAAATCCTTTCTAGCTTGATATTCATATAAATCATTAAGTGTTTGATAAATACTCAAATATTTACATGATTCAACACCATCTGATTGATGATTAGTAGCGTCAATAAATATAAGAACAAATCAAAAGGTGTATCATATGAAAATATCCAACATATAAATAGAAGCACCATTCACGTATTCTATGAAGGAACTTTTTTGATACAAATCATATTTAAAGATATATTGGTTGGTGCAACCATCATTGTTATACTGAATACAAAACAATAGAAACGTCTTTAATGTTACGCATCATTAGTTATAGACATTGAAAAAAAAACCATGTGAGAGATAGCAAGCTTTGTTTAATGATTAAATAATCACCTTGAATGTATATAGATCAAATGAAATGTATATAAAATTATTAATGCTTGTATAAGAAAGTTTTTTTTTAATAAAAAAAAAAAGAAAACAATTTTTATTTGAATTCGTAAAAACATTTACTGAAAAAATATCTTCAACAATTTAATACAATACAAATCATTGATTGTTGAGACTGATTAAGTAATCGGACAAGTATGCATTTTTAAGTTTTGTATAGCTGTTTTCTTTTTTGGTATGATAATCTTTTGGTCAACACTTCTTAAGTTCAAGTATTAAATCATAATTGAGCACATAATCTTAGTTAGTTTTTTTTTCGAATAGCATTTATTAGTACAAGCTCAAGTTAATTTTAAAGTCAAAGAAATTTATTTATGTATTGACTTGAATATAAAAATGATAACTTAAGGGCATCACACCTGCCTTTCATGGTCCATAATCTTGGTTTTATTTTAGTAGTTATTGTATCATCTGAACTAGCATCTCTGCACTGAGTATATTGTACGGATTCCAAAATTGTCTTTAAATGTTAACAAATTCAACGAGAAATCGATTTTTTACTGATCAAAAATAGCAAATCGTATTTTTCTTAAATCAACATTGTCTATGGAAAAAAAAGTGCAGAAACGTCCCCGTTTATCCGGCCTGGTAAACCTGATGGTAGTCTTACAAAAAAAAAACATGCGTTTTTTATGGTACCCTCGATGTTTTTACTTTCTTCTTATATGAAGGACAAAAAATAAAAAGATACTCACCTCAAACAGTGTCAAGTGCTTGAAAAGACATTTTCAGCTCGATCGAATATAGCATCTCGAACAAATGAATGCGACCATTTTACGTTGTCGTGACTCTAGTATTACATAGAAAACAGCATCCAGGAGCTTTCAGTCTATGACAAATTTTCATCTAATCGTTCAGATCTACCTGCTCTGAAATTTTCAATTTTTTCTAATGAACCGTTCTCTAGAAATCCCGGAAGGAAGGGAATGTATTTTTAAACTTGTTACTGTTCTTCGAATAATTTATTTTACTACTGATCGAAAAAGTTCCATGAGATCTCACACAATCACCTAGTGTATGGTTAGAAAATATGAGAAAGTACTGATTTTAACATAGAAGTGTTCCGAAATTGGCAAGAATGAGAGGAGGAGATTGATGATTTACGAAACAGATTCGATGATTCATTCTAAACTTTACCGACATTGTGAAAATCTGAATGTTCTTTTTGAGAAATGACAAGCAAAAACAACAATAATAGGCTGTAAAAAAACATGAAGGTTTTTCTAGAATAGGAATGGCACCTGTCCTATTCGATACACTCCTGTTTTGATAGTTACTAGCAACAGAATTATTAGATAAGCTTAAAAACCAGAAAAGACATTTTTTCCAAACGAATGGCTATCGTGTTACGATGTTGGCACCAAATGGTCTACCGGCTTAGTAGTATGAAAAAGACAACAAAAGACACTCTTGTATCGGGTTCTTTCAATAAACTCAAAGTCCATTTGCACAAAAAAAGTACAAAATAAAACTGCATATGTATTATATATATATGTTGAGAGATCTTACGAAAGAAAAATAAAAGTTATATAACATCAATTCGACAGTATTGCTCAAATTTCCTATTTTTCGAATATGTTTTATCAATGATGAGTACAGTTAAAGGGAAGATTCAAGCTCATATCTACTCCTTGAAGAAGCTGCGATTTGAAAACGTTCAGAATTCTGAAAAAAATCACAAGATCAGAAAATAATTAGAAATAGAGATGTAAGCCGATGCCTTCTGATTTAAGACTAGAAATTTTTAAAAAAACGAATATCTATTTTTATGTCACAGTGGCTTAACCACGATCGACCTATACCCTAAATCAGAAAACTATTCTATAGTCAGAAACTTTGTCAATTTTTCAGAAGATCTGACAAATCTGATCAACAATCACAAGTCATAAACGTCTACATAGTGATGCCTGAGATTTATTCAGATTTATTACTGAAAAAAAAATGGAAAGGAGGAGGTTTTTTCATTTAATTCTAAAGTTTTGATGACAATAATACTGCCAGATGCTTTTTTTTGTCGTATTCAAACATATAAAGACTATTTATTTTTGTCTTTTTTAAAAATCATCTTGTTTGAGTATAACTTTTTTTGTAAAATCTAAACCGAAATCTTTATGAATGATAACAAAAAAAGCGACCTCTTTAGCATTAATTACTTCGATTGGCTGTCAATAAACAATTATAAAAGCTATTCGTTTAGTATGTGTCAGTTTTCTCCAAACGAAAAATCAAGACTATCATTAAATCGATGTACTTTGTATTTTCCAACTAATTGGTTTAAATTACCTTATGGCATTATTGTTACTTTATTCATGCATATAATTATTTAATAATACATAATAATCGATGAATTCATAATGATAACATAATATATTCAGCAGACATATTCTTTAATACAAAAAATCTCAAGCCTTTATTGAATATATTGATCAAAATGTTTAAACTAGACTATGATATATGAATTAGATCATCAAATACAGATATATATGTCAAACTATATTAATAAACTATGATGTAGCTGATAATGAAGTAACAATTCTTGGTTAGTAGACTACGTATATATTTGTTTTGATTATAATAAATTTGTTATTTAGTTACTCATGTTGAGAAGACTCTTATTGAGAGAGTAATACTGATGATCTTTATTGAATTGAGTTATAAAAATATTACATTATTATCATTCATATGATAATGTATCCATAGTTACTATCGCATGATTTAGATCTTATCAGTATGTAATCAATCATTGTTATTTCAATATCAATAAATAATAAAAAATTTATATATCGATAGAATTTCTTTATTATATACGACAAGTTTTATTTATTAAATATTAGATAGATGCAATTCAGCTTCAGTAGGTTTTTATGATCAGGAAATATATATACTCTGATCGATGGATTATTTAATAACTTAAAAATCTTTGCATTTTTTCTTAGCGTTCGTAGGAAAATACTAAGAAAATTTCGTTGTAAAAAATCCACTGATAAAGATTAGAAACTTTTCTTTTTTTTTATTGTGAACAAAATAAGAAAAGAGAAAATTAAATATAATCTGAAGCCATGTCTTTCACTTTATCGATTCTGGAAAAAAACGACAACTTTCGATGTTATCTGCTGATTATTCGAAAAACGTCCTTCTTCTTTAACATCAAATGCATTTATGGAAATACGTATTTGGTATAATGAGCTTCCATAACTTTTAATTCGACGAAAATACTCTTCCATTCATAATGTTGAAATAGTGTTTAGCGTTTTAGGGTTGAGTCAAAGGATTTTTTTAAATAAAACTTTTTTTTTCGACATAGAAAAATTTTCATGAAGAGCAAACTTTATATGTAGAATCAACATTAAATGATTTATAATGTATTAATCTTCTCATATAAAATTTATTCTATTTAGATATAAAGTATGAGTTTCTTTCGTAGTGATTTTTCAGATTATGTCAACATTTGGTAGATGATTAAGCAATATTGAACCGAAAAAAAGTTTTTTACGTTAAAAAAAATCACATATTCACCTTTCTATAGAAAAATATTCTCTGTGTCCTTGTTGTTATATTTAGCTTCACAATGTTGACGTCTGTTTCATTTGATCAACATTATCATTCGTTATTGTTATATTTCGTTAATAGTAATATAAATTTCTCTACTAGAATCAGTTCAGTGAGGAAATACCATTGCATATATTTTATTACATCGATAAATATGATTTCAACTTTGTAATGACAATTTATTCTATATTCGAATGATAACTATAAAAGAATATATATTGTAAGTGACGAAATAATGCATTGAAGGTTAGTGAAGCGTACTGTAGATATCAACACTGATGGTGAATAAATAAAGAACGAAAAACATTACTCTCAATGGCACACTAACTATTTACATTAATTTTATAATTAAGTTTTTTTGTTTATGCTTTTAGTACGTAGTATTGTTGAGTAACGTTGATTTTTATTTTGTTTGGTAATAAATTTATTAGAATATTAACATTTATTAATAATAAACAAATATGAAAATGTTAATAATTAATTATGAAATTTTATATTATAAATAAAACATTTTAAAAAGAAAATGTTTTGTTCTATTTTCCAGATAGGTATGTCTCAAATTGTTTTATTACGTGCATTACATTGGAGTTCAAGTATTGCTACTGCATTGCGAAGGACAACTTCTGTACATCGACTACATCAATATCAAAATCATTATTCATATTCAACTTTATTAACATCATCTAATGAAATTTTAGTTAGAGAAAATAATACAAATATAAAACGAGTAAGAATATATCTAATTTTATTCTTAACTAATGTTATTTTACTTTGTAATCATAAGTCTATCTATATGAGAATAGTAATAATGAATATTATCTATAAACTTCTTAACAAAATAATTCATTAAGGCTTCTCACCTTCAAAAAAATTGATCTTCGACTAAAACAATTCAAATTGTTTGAAATTTTCAACCCTATATCATAACGTTTTCAGGAAATATTCCTTTTGCAACCTGAAATTCTATCTAGAATCTAATTATATAAATCTAATTTTTTATTTTATTTAAAAGAACATGTTAGACTACACTGTCTGATACAATCCTTTTTTTATTCATTGTTACCTTTTATACAGAAAAATAAAACAAAAAATGACTAACTCAATACTCAGAAAAACTCTCAAAAAATAGTCATCTATTTATAGAAGTGCTTTCTTTTATATAATAATGAAAAGATCTAATTCAATGAACGAGGTTTGTCAGTTCAAACAAAAGAAAAAGCAACTGACTACAATGAAGCTCCCTAGAGAATTTCAAAATGTGTGATCAAAAAAAGAATTACGCGCCAAATAAAATTGTGAAAGATCTAATCTCAACGTATTCCCTCATGTATTTATCTTAATTTCGATTAATTTGACAGAAATGAACTTTTTTCGAGAGGTGGCAAGGGAACTTGATCAGTAAGTATAAATATTCATCAGTCATCTTTTTTCTAGAATCATTCTACTAAGACATTACTTATTAATTCTTCTCATGCTTCAGTTTATACATTTACGTGTTGTCTTCATACGAGTCCAATATATTGTATGTAATATTTTTTCTTAAATTTGAATCTTATCATTTATTTTTTTATGATTAGTTGATACAGTTGATGTAAGAGCACCATCATTTCCTGAATCAGTGAAAGAAGGTTCTATTCGATTATTAAAAAAGGTTGGAGATAAAGTATCTGCTGATGAAACAATAGCTGAAATCGAAACAGACAAAACAGCTTTAAATATTAATGCACCACAAGCAGGTACAATTGAAATATTCCTTGTCGCTGATGGTGATAATGTTACAACAAATGCTCACATAGCCAAACTTAATACAAGTAATGATGTAAAACCAATATCAGGTTTGTTTGTTTTTTAAGAGATAAAAACGTCTAGTCGTAATTTTTCGAATAGAAAATAAAAAAGATTCATCAATCGAGAAAATCGATGCAGAAAAAGTCAAACATACATTAGATGAATCGATAGATAAAGTCAATATTGAACAAACAAAAGAAAAATCATCTACAAGTTTCATTTCATCTAAACCATCGCATATATTAACTTCAGTAACTGGTTCAAAACTTGATACTTCAGCACCACAAAATTTAACTACATCAACTAAACAACAAGTTAGTGAAGCACGATCAGAAACACGTGTAAAAATGTCAAAAATGCGTATAAGAATAGCTGAACGTCTTAAACAAGCACAAAATACATGTGCTATGTTAACAACTTTTAATGAAATTGATATGAGGTTAAATAAAAGAAAAAGATCTGTTTAGAATTTACATCTATGATAATTTTTTTTTAGTAATATTGTTGAATTTCGTAAAAAATATGCTGATCAATTTTTCAAACGTCATAAAATTAAATTAGGATTTATGTCAGCATTCATTAAAGCATCTGCATGTGCTCTTGTAGATAATCCTATTGTTAATGCAAGTAATAAATAATATATTTTCAAATATTTCATAATGATGTTTTCTTTTTTTATGTCGTTTTAAAGTTATTGATGAAAATGAAATAGTCTATCGTCATTATATTGATATTAGTGTTGCTGTTGCTTCATCAAAGGTGATTTGTTAAGATGAAAGAAAGAAAAACATATGGTTCTTTACTTTAGGGTTTAGTTGTACCTGTCCTTCGAAATGTCGAAAAAATGAATTATGCTGATATTGAACGTGCAATAAATGAATTTGGTGAAAAAGTAACATGAAAGTCTATATTGAAATTTTTTGAAATATATATTTTATTTCATTTCTATAGGCAAAAAATAATTCCCTTGCCATTGAAGATATGGATGGTGGAACATTTACAATAAGGTAAAAACCTTTTTTTTTTGTTTTTCTTTAAATTCAGAAGTTATCATGACTTACTCAACAGATCTGTTCGAGATACATAGATATCTATTGACATCGGTCTGCACTTAACTCTTTAACATGAATTATGTCTTTAGTAGACCGATCTATATCGATACTTATTATTCTAAAACTGTTATAACTAATGATTAAACTTCGGTGCTTCCAAAAATCCTTGAAATGAAACCTTTAAATCATCATACATGCAAAAGTTTTTAAATCTACATTCATGAGGGAAAATTATTTCTTCTTCTCTCAATCTGTTTGTATCGAATGCCCTTCGTCTCAAGTGAATGTTGGTTACAAAAGTATTTTAAATATTGTACTTTAGTGAAGTGTATGATTGGCTACGACCTACTTCAATGAAGAATGTACGTCATTCAATACAATCGACCAACACCACAAATGAGTTGGTTACTAGAATACGTCATGGTTGAGTTATCTCTGGTTTTTCTTGACATTTTCTGAATGTTTTAGTAATTTTATTTTATCTATATTTGTATAATAACTTGCATGATATTCTTTGAAGAACTTTGAATCGACGACAAAGAGAGTTTAATGATCCAAATCATTAAAACAGTTAGTAAATGCAAACAAAGAGATAACCCAGTCATGAAATATTCTGTCAGCCAATTCATTTGTAGGATTTTTTCAATTGTATTGAAAGATGTATATTATTCATTGAAGCATCTTGTCATCAATCGTATACTACACTACAATAAAGTACTTAAGCCATCCTTGTGACTAATATCCACTTGAGACTAAAGGGGTTGTATAAGAAAAGAATGAGAAAGGAAGGAGACTTTTGCCTTGTTTAAGTATTGAACTACGTGGTGTATTTAATCTCAAATAATTCAATAGTGAAAATTGTTCAAAATAGATTTAAGACTTTCGTATCTTTTTCATGATTTAACTATTTCGATTTCGCTTAATTTTTGCAACCATCGAACTCTACTAACAACATTTTGTGTGTTTGATAAATCCTATCATTATCAGATGCTAGCTTTTATTAACGTTGTATTTTATACAACGTGAGCTGAATTTCAATTAAAAATAAAACTATCATTGAATGTACATTTTAGTAAAATAAATCAAATATTATTGATACTGAAAATTATTAATATTCAGTTAAGAGAATAATATCTTTCATTAGCTGAAAAGAGGAACAAATACTAACACAGTTAACATTGACAACAATAATAATGTAATAGTGCAACATAATCTGAATAACAGTCTTTTTGAAGGTGATAATTGAATTACAATATAATGAATAATGAATGAAACTATCTAATTGTTGTTGATAAGTATCTGTTATTTTTCTTTTCTTTCGAAAGACTCACTAATAAAACAACAATTGGAATACTGTAATGACCTCTTCAGTAGGCCAATAGTATAAGCAAATCGAACAGGTGTGCCTCCTTGTATACAAGGTAATTTGGCAACTTCAGTTACCATTAGGGGGTAATGACATAAAAGATTTTATTTTTTATCTGCTGTGAATAGGGTATAGATGCTGATGAGGTGGAGGTCTTCAGGTCCCACAGCTACACACATGCATTATATCCATACCCATATATATAACAACAAATGATGCTTTATATATGTATAACGGCAATCGGCTTACTTATCTATCCGTAAATACTAACAAATATTATAGTTAGTTGAGAATGTCTAAAACAATTTTTTTTTTCATGTTGTTACCCCCCAATGGTAACTCCAGTTGCCATTTTATGTCGTAGTCTCTTGTGGATGTGAGTGTGAAAATTTTGAAATGTATTTTATTCAATAGCAGCAAGTGTCATCAATATTTATCACATAACATATCATCAAAAATATATATATTGCTCATCGACAAATAAACAATTAAAAGAAAAGATGTCCTTTTTTTCTGTAATAATTTCATAACTATCTTTGTTGTAAGTCCTATATATATTGGAGATGGAACAATGATACAAAATGTTTGTTTTTTGTCAATTAGTAGCTCAGAGAATTTTCTACACATAATGTGTAAGGAATTTTTTAATATTCTACATTCTGCATTTTGCAATGTTTCTAAAAATAGCAATTCTACTTCGCAGTGGGGGGTAAAAGGTTAATAAACGATGCAAAAGTCATTGAAAGAATGTTGGAATCTATTTCTCAACAAAAAAAACAAATCGGATTAACTTCGATGTTCTGTTTGTTTGAAAAAAGCAAAGTTTCAAGAATATATACATCAAATAAAACAATCTTTCAGAATATCTATTTTTATTATAGTTTCCATTCTCGATTTCGGTGGGGAACGCTAAAAAATCGTTGTTAAAGAACACTAGGTTAAGGCGATCACTTTTCAGTTCATATATCTCTAAGTTTCGTGTTCCTATTCGGTTCACTTTTTGTTACTCATGACTGTATACCATAACAAGATTTCTATTATAAAAAAACCGAATCTATTATTCTTTTTAGCAGATTTATTACACAAAACTTTTATTCCTCAACAGTAATAGATATGAGAATTTATTTAAAATATAAGTTCTAGAAACTACTGTTTAAATTAATTTCATAAGCATTTTTTTATAGTAATGGAGGAGTATTTGGTTCGTTATTTGGTACTCCAATTATCAATCCACCGCAGTCAGCTATTCTTGGTATGCATGGAATATTTGATCGACCTGTAACTAGTAATGGCAAAGTATGTAACATTTATTTGCGTTTGTTTTTTTTAATTTTTTTCTTTTTTTCTTTATTAGATAGAAATTCGTCCGATGATGTATGTGGCACTTACATATGATCATCGTATTTTAGATGGTCGTGATGCAGTTCTATTTCTACGAAAAATTAAGCAATATGTAGAAGATTCTCGTACTATTTTTCTCGATATTTAAAGATCTAATTTCTATATATTCTATTCTATTCATGATTTGTTTTTTAATGTATCGTGAAGTCTTTCAGGTCTATTAATTTATTCAACGTTTTAATTTTTTTTATTCATGTGAATATTTCAATCTATCATATGATACTTGCACAAAAATTCTTTGTTTTTTTGTGCAGGTTATTTTTATACAAGAAAACAAAAGATTAATCAAGAATATTCTTCTTTGTCTTTGTTTTATTGTTTTGCTTTTTTTTTCAACAGTTAATCAAAGGTGTATGAGAAAAGAAAGAAAGAAAAAGTAAATGAGAAGACGGTGTAATGTGAGATAGATAGAATGTTTGTGGTCATTGATTGGGTTTTATATTTGAGCGGACATTCATTTGATTGCCTTGAAGCGTGCAGTAAGGCATACATACAATTGATGTGATTTCATCTTCTTTGTATCGTTCTCTTTCTTTTTTTTTTCTTTTGTGGTTTCTACTGGATACATGTTGATAGGAGTGTACATAGAAGTAAAGCAAGAAGAGAGAGAGAGAGAAAGAAATGTTGATCATCTCTTTTCTGTTGCCTGTCATTGCCGTAAGGGGTTAAGTACAATATTCGGTTTTCTTTCATTTCACTTGAACACCTGATGGCTGTTGGTAATGGTAGTTAGTCAGTGTTGTCAGCTACAGCGTATTCACTATGTTCGGCCATCATTATCATTATCGTCGATGTTTTTCATTGAAACGAACGAGTGAATTTGCTCAACATTGGTTTCGTGAACGCACATCAACCTTATCGCGTCGACATCAATCTCTCAAACGTGATACTTCATCGACTATCGATATCAGTCAGAAGGTAGTTTTGTTGTTATTGTTGATAGTTGAATGATTGACATTAAGAATACGTGTATATAATGATGTTTCTATACATATCTATTGATAAAATAGATAAACAAAAGTTTTAAAGTGATTTGTATTTGTAGAACATTGGCCACAGAATGGCCAAAAAAAACTATGATCTTCTATTTAAATTATTATTAATTGGTGATAGTGGTGTTGGCAAAGTGAGTAATTTACAATAAATAAAAAAGAATAATATGATGAATTATTTTCATTGATTTTTGTATTTTTAGACATGTATTTTATTTCGATTTTCTGATGATTCATTTAATTCTTCATTTATTTCCACCATCGGTATTGATTTTAAAATAAAAACAATCGAACTTAATGGACGAAAGATTAAATTACAGATATGGTAAGATGATCATTCGTATCTATAAGCTATAAACAGATTTTATTAAATCTCAAAACAATAAAAAGAAAGAACCTATATAATAGAGTCATGCATTTTCTAAATAATCTTAAAACAAATAATAGTGTGTAGTTATTAAAAAGGAAGCCATAACAATAGACTTATATATGAATATGTATTGGGAAAACGAGACTGATAAAGATAGTCATCTGTACCGGTATATCATGTTACATGTTATATAATCAAATTTTATTAGTAGAACTTATAAATTTATATTCAATATTTACAGAAATAGTTTTTTTTTCTTTAGGGATACTGCCGGTCAAGAACGATTTCACACAATTACAAGTAAGATGCATTGAAATTTGTTTTAATAAAAGTATCTTTTTTTTTTCAATATATTGCCTATTTAACTCTCAGATCCTGTCAGCCCTGAAGAGATATACAACTAGTATACAAAGAGATCACGTTATGAAGGATAAAACATACAGACAAAGACTGTAAGATGTGAGGAAACAATGTTAAAAACTACGATGTTAAAAGCTTTCGAAACACTCTACAAAACGTAGAGTGTCGTTTTTATCTAGCGATACTATTGAGTCTTCCCTGCTGTGCCATGTCATCCATCTTCTAGTCAATACAAACACATCCATATGGTGTATGAAACATTTTGACCTTCCTAGACAACAAATGTTGAGTTACCTTCATAACATATGGTTCTGTGAGCATTTAATATAATTGCTCTAGTAACAGTCGTCAATCGAGTGATTTAAACAGAATTTTAAGATATTTTTTCCAACAGGTATAACATACGTAGCTCAGAGAATATTCATCATAAGTACATGTACAGAAGAAATCATCTCCATATTTGCAATGCAATATTCATTTAAGACACATATATAGTGACAGTGATGAAGTCTAGACTATTGACAATTGATGGACAATTGGTAGAGAAAGAATAACTACGTAAAAAAAAAATAGAACAAATCTATAAAACAAAACTATTGATGAAGTATCACTAAACTTCATTGAATTGACTAATCATTATTTGTTGATGGATTCGAAGACAAGCTAGCCCAATCATGTTCTCTCATCCTAACTTTTTTTTGTTAATCAGTAATCAAGATACTGAAATGATGAAATTTATTCAATAGTGAAGCTTTCACATTGAAGTAGCGGTACATCGAATACAAACAGGGTATGATAGTCTGCAGACAGAAAACATAGTCCGTACTATTGAAATAATTCATGGGTTGCATCCGTCAATATCGAATATACTTTTGATATAATTTTAGCATCATATTATCGTGGAGCAACAGGAATCATGCTTGTTTATGATGTAACACAAGCTAGATCATTTGAAAATATTAATAAATGGCTACGTAATATTGATGATCATGCATCCGATGACGTTGTTAAAATGCTTATCGGTAATAAATGTGACATGGACGATAAACGTTGTATTAATCGAGCACGTGGTGAAGCATTGGCACGTGAACATGCAATACCATTTCTTGAGACATCAGCAAAAAATAATATTAATATAGAAAAAGCTTTCTTCGAAATATCACGACTTATATTAAACAAAACTCCATTAAGTTCATCTGAACCGACAACTGGAGGATCGATCGGTGTATTGCAAGGAAATAAACAAACGAATCAATCGAACTGTATGAATTGCATGTAAAACAAACCGAATGGTTATATCAATCAATCAGTCACAAAGTAGAAAAAATTTATTTGTCGTTAACGTCGCATTTTTTTCCTCTTTATCTGTTATTGATTCTATTCTTTCTCTCTCTCTCTTTAAACAGGCGTGATCGCATGTGTAATTTTCTTTTTTTTTGTTGGACGGTATTTGAATATATTGAATTAAAAAAATAATACATTCACAGAGGGAGATGATGAATAAATTGGAGTAAATATCGATATTGATACTGTGTTACTGGTATCTATTAGAAATACAAATATATATCCTGATAACTATAATTGTATGATTAATATCAAGTTATACGTAATTCTCATGAAATTAAGAATTAAAAGTGATCTTATATTGGTTAATTCTCATGTAGATTATGATAATTATACAAAATGATAATTTCAATGATTTTGAAATAGATTATATGATGTACATTTGCAATCATTTAAAAAAAGAACAAGGAATATATATATTAAGAAATCGGTCTAATTTGTACCATTGATCGACGAAGATAAAGTTTAATAATATTTCTGATATCACGATCGAGTATAAGTGTAACAATTTTTTCAATTGCTACTGTAAACGATACTGTAACAATACCCATTCCGTAAAGAAAACGAATATTAGTTAATAAATAAAGTATTGTTGGTATAGCACCTAATGTATATATAGCAAATAAAATCATTATATTGCATAAAACTTCAAGATCACGATTTGAACGTCTTCTTGCTGTTACTATAAATACTCTGTATCTAGGATGTTTCATACAAATGTAAATATAAATATATATAGCAAATATTAATATTGCTGGAATTAAATAATAAGCAAGAACAGTATATATTACATGTAAAGTATATTTTTTTGGTACCCAACAAAGAGTAAATGGACGATAATGAATGTCATCAGTAAGAAGTGCTGGTAATGGTATTAATACAACTATAATCCATTGAATAAAAATAAGAATAATATGAGTTTTAAATGAAGTAATCCATGGATATTTAGTTGAAAGAATTGAAAAAAAAAAACGTGATGTAGCTTGAATTAAATAAGAATAAATAACAGCTGCAACTGCCATATAGCCAAAAAATCCACGCCATCGACATGATGTATCATTTATTTCCCATCGAATAAATAAAAGAAAAACATAGTTAACACATTGTACTATACAATAGAATATCGAAGAAATCGACGTATTACAAATTAATAGATGTGTTACTGTATGCAATCGTTTTATATATATAACTAAGGTTAATATTAAGCATGCAACTATAAAAGCTACTAAAACAGCAACCAACGATACGGGAATAATTATTTGATAACTCTTCAATTCTTTCAATGATTCCATTGTTGTTGAATGTATTTTATTGTATTTCTTTTATCATTAAAAAGATAAACTTGCAAAAGATTGGAACAAAAATCTTTCTTTTTCAAATGAATTTCATTATACTGATTCCAAATGTTTGAACTATGTTATAATTTATTCTCTTTTTTTATATCTAGCAAATTCTTCATCTTCACAATGGCATAAAAATCAATATTCTCTTTTTACTCAATGCCTATATTGCCAGAAAAGTTATTTTCTTTTAACTGTTGAACATATTTTTATCAATTTTTATGATTTATTAACTGATAGATATATTGCGAGCCAATAGAATATATCTAAGTGAAACGCACTTTCATCGCACATAGCTGTAATCTTTTATTATATTATGTCGAGACATATTTTGATCATTTTTTTGAATAAAAACTGTGTATTGGAAGTAATTCTTCATGTTGTATCTAATCGACAGTATTGATATAAATAATAAAAATTACTTTTATCTGGCTTAGTGACATAACAAACATTAAAATTTATGGCATTATGTTTTTGCAGATCTAGAAAAAAAAATCCTTCAGAACTGATTATTTTCATGCTAATTGAATTGAATGAATCTAATCAAGTTGTATTAATAGAAAAAATTATGCTTTACTTAATGTGCTGTCTGCTGAATATTTGGAAAAAGAGAAATGAGCAAATGAGTAGTCATTGCAACGATCAAGGGATTGTCAGAACTAGAGGTGGCACTTTAACTTTATTTTACTTTAATAAAGTAAAGTAAAGTAAAGTGAAGTATCTCTAACTTTACCGAACAAGTAAGAAGTAAAAGAAGATAAAGTAAAGTATGTAGTTGATGGTTATTGATTTATTAGTTTATAATCAGACATTAATCACATTCTAATACATCAAAAGTTGTGTCGAATTACAGATCGAAGGCTCCGAAAAATTTGAGGGTGTGGGTGTGGATACGGATGTACGTCTGGTCGAACTGAAGACTCACCCATATCTACCCAACCCCACCCACACCCACCCACACACTAAGCCAAAGACTATCTTTCAAAAAAATAAGCATTATGATCGTCACTGTCTTGAATTCTCATCAAGAACAATTGCTTTTTCAAATATTTTAGGAATATTATTTTCATCACAATGTAATAAAAAAAATAAAAATCATATTCAATCAATAATAAAGAATACTTTTTCTCATAAGGATTTTTCTTATATCAATTGATACTATGACTTTTTTCTGATAAATTCTTGGAATTATAATTTATTCCCTAGGAGGAAAAAATTCTTCTAAAAATTTCCTTTTTTTCATAAAAAGCGATAAATAACTTGACGGTAACGTTCTTGAAGCAGGTCGTATCCTATAAACTCATAAGCTTGTCTCAATAAATCACAAAAATGAATAATTTTCGCTCGTTTACTTTTTAAGTCAAACTGATCATTAAAAAAAAGAATATCTTTTAAATTTTGATCAATACTTAAAAATACATCTTTATCTGCCAATATGTCAAGTAATTCACCAAAAGCAAAGATTTGTAGTTTTATTATAATAAATATACTGTAATAATTTTAAAAAAATTCTTTTATTTTCTCAGAAATCCAAAATTAACTTTCCCAGTGATTTTCTTTTCCTTTTAGATTTTTAAAAATCTTGTCGA